CTATGGTCTTATGCAATACAAAGGCTCCACAGGAAGCCTCCTTCACTGGGCACATTGTAGCCCCATTTTAGGTATTCAAATCAGTTATAGGCAGAAGACGAACTTACAAGCTGACTATGGTGATATTTCTGGCTATTCCTTTCTCTTCCCCTCAAGTGTCTATTTTATAATGGTATGCAAGAGAAACCAAGATTCAAAAAACAGCCAAGCATCTTAACATTATTTCCCACGTTTTGGCCATTCCAACCATGCCTCAATCCCTGTATCCCAGGGCCCTGTTGTCCCAAGGTTGTGCATACATCATTATTTAACTCTATACCACTTAGCCCATGTAAACCTGGCTAATTGTTCTCCCATCCGCCTTGCTCTTCTGTCTTTTCCTTTTGAATACATCGCCTCCTAGTAATTTTAGTACATATAGTCAGTTTCACCTGGATTACTACAATACTGTCTCCTGTTTTTTGTACATCTCCAGTTTCCTTATTCTTATTCTAACAAGGAGCTCTGGTAGTGCAGAGGTTATGAAACGGGCTGCAAACCTTTAGGTCAGCAGTTCGAAACTACCATATGTTCCACGAGAGAAAGATGAGACTTTCTGCTCCCATAAAGATTTACAGCCTCGGAAACACTTATACAGGGTCGCTATGGGTCGGAATCAATTCCACAGCACATAACCACCATTCTAATAATAGATTAACAAGAGACAGAATTATATATCTAAAGTACAAATATAATCATGTTCATCCCCTTCATGAACAATTTTATAATTTATGTGGCCATTCACAATCTAATCTAAACTAATCTAGCCTTTCATTTCAACCAAGGCTTTGCTGACTGAGCTAGTCATAGTAGTTTGTGAGTTAACAACTTCTTCCTTCCCTATGACAATGCTGACATAAACCCTTAGTTCATACCATGTAACACTGCTTACATTCAAAGTGACCCATGATTGGACTGAATTTGGACTGGGAGGACTGTGAATGCTCTATAAATATCTAATGGTAAGGAACAGCTTTGGGCTACTTTGGGAGCAGTAATTCTTGAAACTGATCATACCCCCTCCCCTTGCAGGGCCTGCAAGTTAGGTTTATCGGGCTGTTGTAAGAGATCACTGGTTTCTATTTGGGACATAGAGCGTCTAAGCATCCATTCAAAGTGAGCATTATAAGCATGTAATAGGCTCATAACAGTTAAAATTCATTGAATATTTGTAAAGCAAAAAGTCATTAAGAAGACAAGAAAGAAGGAAAAGGTCAAAATGGAGGTCAGAAGAGACACTGAAACTTGCTCTCCAGCACAAAGATGCTAAAGCAAATGTAAGAAATGAGGAGGTCCAAGAGCTGAACAGAAAATTTCAAAGATCAGCTCGAGAAGATAAAGCCAAATATTACAACAAAATGTGCAAAGATCTGGAATCAGAAAACCAAAAAGGAAGAACACACTCAGCATTTCTCATGCTGGGGGAACTGAAGAAAAAATTCAAGCCTCGACTTTTGTTATTAAAAGATTCTCTGGGCAAATTACTGAATGATGCAGAAAGCATCAAGTGAAGATGGAAGGAGTACACAGAGCCACTGTACCAAAAGGAAATGTGCTCAACTGTTTCAAGAGGTAGCATATGACCAAGAGCCAATGATACTGAAAGAGGAAAGTCCAAGGTGCATTGAAGGAATTGGCAAAGAACAAGGCACCAGGAATTGATGGAATAAAAATCGAAATTTTTCAAGAAAGTGAGGTGGCACAGGAGGCATTCACTCATCTCTGGCAAGAAATTTGGAAGACAACTATCTGGCCAACTGATTGAAAGAGATACATATTTGTGCCCATTCCAAAGAGAGGTGACCCAATGGAATGCGGAAATCATTGGACAATCTCTTTGATATTCCATGCGAGTAAAGTTTTACTAAAGGTAATACAGAAATGGCTGCAAGCATACACTGACAGAGAATTTTCAGAGGTTCAAGCCGGATTCAGAAGAGGCCGTAGAACGAGGGATATCATTCATTGCTGATGTCCGATGGATCTTGGCTGAAAGCAGAGAATATCAGAAAGATGTTTACCTGTGCTTTATTGACTATGCAAAGGCTTTCGATTGTATGGATCATGACAAGCTATGGACAACGTTGTGAAGTATGAGTATTCTGGAACACTTAATTGAGCTCATGAGGAATCTGTACCTGGACCAAGAGGCAGTTGTTTGAACAGAACATGGGAACACTGAATGGTTTAAAATTAAGAAAGGTGTGTGACAGGGTTGTATTCTTTCACCATACTTATTCAACCGGTATGCTGAGGAAATCATCCGAGAAGCTGGGTTATATGAAGAAAAATGTGGCATCAGGATTGGAGGAAGATTCCTTAACAACCTTGCTTGCTGAAAGTGAAGAGGACTTAAAACATTTACTGATGAAGATCAAAGAGCATAGCTTTCAGTATGGATTACATCTCAATGTAAAGAAAATAAAAATTCTTATCACTGGACCAATGAACAACACTCTTATCAATGGAGAAAAGATTGAAGTTGTCAAGGACTTCATTCTTCTTGATCAATTATCAACACACATGGAAGTAGCAGTCAAGAAATCATACAACATATTGCATTATGCAAATCTGCTGCACAAGACCTTTTGAAAGTGTTGAAGGGCAAAGATGTCAGCTTGAAGACTAAGATGCGCCTGACCCAAGCCATGGTATTTTCAGTAACCTCATATGCATGAGAGAGCTGGACAGTGAATAAGGAAGACCGTAGAAGAATTGATGTCTTTCAGTTATGATGTTGGAGGCGAATACTGAAAGTGCCATGGGGCCAAAAGAACCAACAGATCCGTGTTGGAAGAAGTGCAGCCAGAGTGCTCCTTGGAGGCCAAGATGGCCAAACTTCATCTCTCATACTTCGGACATATTGTTAGGAGGGACCAGTTGATGGAGAAGGATATCATGTTTGGTAAGGTGGAAGGTCAGAGAAAAAGAGAAAGACCCCCAATGAGACGGATTGGCCAAGTGACAACATCGATGGACTCAAGCGTGGCAACAGCAGTGAGGTTGGCCCAGGACTGGGCAGTGTTTCATTCTGCTGTGCATAAGTCACTATGAGTCAGTACTGACTTGATGGCACCTAACAACAACGATTTCATTTAATCCTCAACAAACCCCATGACTGACTCTGTACAGGGTTTCTGAGAAGTAGCTGGTGGGATTGAACTGCTGACTTTGAGGTAAGCAGTCCGGACCTTATCCTATAGAAATGTTGAGTATGTCAAGTAGGTTCTGACTCATAGCAATCCTGTAAAGATAGGTTTCTGAGGAGTGGCTGGTATACTAGAACCACCGACCTTGTGGTTAGCAGGGCACTGCTTGTCCTACAGTGCCGTACCAGGACTCCTATAGAAACAGGGGCTATTATTACCCTCATTTGACTGATGAGAAGACTAAAGCTTAGATAGATTAGCTAACTTATCCAATGCTCTTCAACCTATAAATGGAGGAACCAAGGGTGTCCAGGTTTTCCTGACTCCAGAGCCCAATTCTTAACTACCATAGTCTTCGTCCTGCTGTTACAAGTGTTTATGTCATTTATTCTCAACAAGACCAAACTTGATTTAAGTTATACTTGTTGTTAAGTGCTGCTGAGTTGGTCCCAACTTATAGCAACCTTGTACAGGGTTCCCGAGGAGCAGCTGGAGGGTTTGAATCACCAGTCATGTGGTTAGCAGTCCAGTGTTGATCCTACAGCACCACACCATTCCTCGCATGGCTTAAAATAGCATCGTGACTACCAAACACCTGACTAGAACATTAAACAAAAAACTGACTTCCTCTAAGAATACTACTCCAATTAGATTGACCCCATTTTTATGGTTTCTTCAATCAGTCATTATTAATTGACTCTGACATTCTGTATACTGAACGCCTACAACATGTGTAACACTCTTCCTCAGTACTCAGACCTCCTTAAATTTCAGCAGCATTGTTTTCTTGCCTACTATTTTCTCCATCAAAAAAAATATACACAAAGGGAATTCAGGACCTCCCTATTGTTTATTAAGTAACTGGAAACATTTTGAGGTCACCAGTCAGTCCCAAAGAAAACAATCACTGCTGTGGAGTCAATACAACAGACTGAAACACTGAAACCCAATCCAGCAGCAACCTCACAACTATTGCTGTTTGAACCCATTGTGGCTGCCAATGTGTCAGTGTATCTCATTGAGCATAATAGGCTCAATTAAAATGCCACTCAAGTAAAACTACAAACCTTTAGTGGTCTCTTAAGGCAGTGCCAGAACTGATTGCTGAAAAGCAGGGTTGTTTTCTTTCAAGAGAAAAATGAAGCCAGAACAATAGTGAGAGGCCTATACTCAATTACCCACCAAATTACTAGTGGTAATGACATCTCAAATTGGTTCATTTGAGGACCTCCAGAGACCTGCCTTTTAACAATGGTGGGAGAAGCACTGTATCCAAGTTCACATCGTCCTTGACTGTGCAGACATAAAGCTCCTGGTCTTCTTGGACGCTGGCAGGAGAAATACTACACATTGTGAATTTCATGGCATTCGCTGTAGGGAAAGAAGACTATAGCTGAGGAAAATGCCATGCTCACTGATTAGGGTTTCAAAGGCATCAAAATACAAGAATGTAGACAAGAAACAAAAAAGATGAAGATGAATAGAGCACACTACAGTTTAACAGGCCTTCTGCCTGTTGTCAATTTTCTCTTACAAAGTGATATTCTCTGTACCACATGCTGCCTTATTCCTTGGTAGCTTACAATAATGCTCACTTCCTTCCATTCCATCACAACTCTGGGATCCCTTTCTTGATTTACACATACTTCTACCTTTTCTTCCTCTCCTACTCCCCATCCAAATCTTCAAGTCATCCTTTTCACATCAGTAATGTTCAACTGTCTATTTTGGATTCTCGTTTGTATAAATCCAATTTCCCATCCCTTTAGCTGTTCAAAAAAGAACTATAATATATTGATTATCTGAATTAAGTTCTGTGAGACAGGTATTTAGTGTTTTCATCCTAGTCACACAATATGTGGGCAGAGTGCTTATCTGGGAAAACCTCATCTGGTCGCCAAAATAAGTACCTGTTTTACAAGGTTCAGGGGATGCCATGGTGGAGAGCATAACATGGGAGGCTGAGCGTACCTGAGAGGGTCTCCCACTTGCTGTTCTCCTTCTCCTCCTTTTGTAGGTCATGAAAGAGCAGTATGTCCTTCGAGAGAAGGTCCTGGCATAGGACCTCACAGTAGAGGGGGTTTCCAAAGCACCTATGGAGAAGGTAACTGCAGACAGGTAAATAGATTGCTGATTAAACTGCCCACTTGAAGGGAGTCAAGCATAAGGGTATTGGATACTGATTCTTTCTTCTTTCGTTTAAAGTAAATTTTTGAGGCATTAACAGAGGGAAGTAGCAACACAAAAATGCAAAAACATCAATTCTATTTGGCTTGGAAATACATTTTGGCTGAAACTTTTCTTTTTCAAATACCTTGCTTCTAGTTATTTATGTTAATAGGAACTAAGAATACGTATTGCTAAAGGGCCCAGGCAAGAGCTGGCTTGACCACATGTGATTCACATAGCAAGCAAGTCATCCAAATCCTAACTGTACTGTGCAAACCTGGGTGGAGAGCTCAAAAAGATAGCCCCTTACTTGTTGACTGAAATCTAGTCCTGGACCTCCTCCTGGTTCCGAATGGCATTCTCTCCCCCAGCTCCAGTGAGACCCGTGGCTTTCCACTGTTACTATAGCATTGGCTCCTCCCTTAATGAAGCACCCAGCTAGTCCTATCACTCACATCTGCAGCTCTGGGGGCATGCTCACCACCCCCAGTTCCCAACATGCCATTCTGAATAGTGAGGTTGCTGCCAACATGGAAATGGGCACAAGGGTTGCCTGAGGACTCTTCAGGAAGTGCTGGGCCCAGCCACATAGAGTGAAGATGGGGGTCAACGTCATCGCCATGATGATGGGCACACTGGACAGCAAGGTGCCCAAAAACTCCCAGGAAGCTGCATCCATATACTGGGCCTCATCAATGAGGAAAATCAGTGGTCTTTCCCTCACTGCCTGGAAATACACAGCAAAGAAACAATAACAACATCGGATTAGAAACGAAGTCACTTGATGTTCAACTCTACCATGGGTTTCGCCACCAATCATTTACATAAAATGTTAACATAAGCCAGGACTCTCACAGCAAACTGCATCCTGGATCCAGCTAATATCTTACTGGCTAACCTAAAATATAGGGTTTATAGGTGTAATTCCTACAGAAACGTACTGTTCTTTGGGAATAAGTTTCTTTACGTAAAAAAATAAATGAAAAATGAAATAAACATCAAAATATTCTTCAAAGCAAGTCTGAAGTGTTCAAATTTTTCATTTTGGCAAAAACTTTATCCTTTCTGGGCATTCCTAATACTTTCAACCGGCAACTCCCAAATCAGGCTTCATGTCAGAATCACTTGCTAAAAACACAAATGACTAAACCCCATTTGTGAAGGCTGAAAAGTCTGTGTATTAACTTAACCACGTTCCTCACTGCCATCCATTCCAACTGCAGTACGGAACTATTCTGTTTAAAGCACAGCCGTTTGTATTGTATGTTGTTGTTTTGCCAAGTGGATTTTTTCGGTGCAGTGTTACTGTATTACATATCTCATTATTTCTTTCTCACTCTCTCTTTTTTTTACTCCAGGCATATCTTAAAGATCCTTCCATGTTTTTATCGATTCTTTTACTTCTCATTACATTTTATCATAGTCATCCATGTATTAATAACATCAAGACATCCCTGGCCTCCACATACAAACACTGCAACCTGGGATATACAAGGGGACTTCAAAACGTTTGTGGGAAAATAGAGTGAAAAGATCATGGAGTTTTTCCATGGACTTTTTGAAGTCCCCTCATATATCCAGAAGTTGAATTCCAGGGTCTAAATGATGCATGTCATTAAAATTTGGCTACTTCTAGAATGTCTACAGCAGTTTCTACTGATACAGATCTTGGGTTGAGTAGTCTTAGAGCGTAGCCCGAGTAGCCACATTTTCAATAAAAAGTAGGTAAAATATCTATCCCACTTTGCACAAGAAGCCAACGTTCTAAATTAAGTGATTAAAATTTCATTAAGAAACATGAACCGAAAGAGCAGAGACTTGCTCATATGTACTGTGCTGAGCTGTAGTACTGATTCAAGGTCAAGGGCAGGTACAAACAGTGAAGATGACAACAAATAGGCAGGCAAAGGAATGCCCTGGTGAAGTATGGCTAGATTAAAATGACCATAAACCATCTCCACATACTAAGAGGTAAAGGTAAGTGACAAAAGTACCCACCTCCTGAAGCACTTGAATAAAACAAGCTTTAACCTTCTTCTGTCTGGTCAGGTTATCCATGTGTGAAACTTTGAAGGATAAGGGAAACTGACGAAGAAAATTATTTACATATTAGCATTCAAAATTGTATAATTTAGTGAAAACACACAGGGTCTCCAAAGGGAACAGAAAGCTCTTCTATTTGGAATGAGACAAAGTTTCTGCAGGATTAAGTTTCAAGCTACTAATGGTCAATCCAACATCAGTATACAGTGTAGAGGGTAAGAATCAAAGTCCACTGAGGGTTAGAGAGAAACATCTTCTTTCTATACTGTTGTAGTTGTTAAGTGCTGTCAAGTTGGTTCCAACTCATACAGGGTTTCTGAGCAGTAGCTGGTGGGTTTGAGTCGTCAGCCTTGCAGTTAGGGGTCTAGAGTTTATCCTAGAGCAGGACTTCTCTTTTCTATGCTAGACTCTGGAAAATCCATAAAGGGGGATGACTAAAGAGGAATGCAACACAGTACAGTGTCACTCTGGACCGCTTCCGTGCTCCAGGATGAATCTGGATACGAGACTTGTCAGAAAGAGACACTGTAGACATGGCCTCCCATGTTTTCTGTGCTAGGCTGAGGCAGAGAAGCTACCATGGACCCTGAGTAGTCAAAGTGAGATCACTCCTCTACTCCTTTGGCAGAGTCAAAGCCCTGGGCTGAGGTTCGTCTGCAGAGAGGGTTATGATAAGGGATAGGATCATCGTTTTCGCTATTTTAATCTATAGGGTGGTCAGATTAGAAGCAAGGGGGATGAATACATGAAATTATAGGAATTCTTAATCTGCTCAGTTTTGGGTTCCACATAAACCAAAGACTCCCGGAAGCTCTTGACATTCAGGTGTTCATTAAAGGGCTAGCCTCTGTGACTAAGGAACAGGGAGGTAGGGCTAGAGAATTTATAGCTGTAAATGGTTCAAGAACACATGGATATAATTGCTGGAAATGCTTTACTGGTCAGGATCACCTTAATATATTTAGCACTTAAAAACTTACAATGCAATCTCATTACTTTCTCCTTTAAAATTCATACAAAAATCATATGAAGTACTATCATTACCATTTACTGCCATTTCACAGAAAAACATTGTTTTTCTCAGCTCAGAATGACTGACTAACTTGCTCCTAGACATACAACTAGTAAGTGGCAGAGTCAGTTCTAGAATCTACTTTCCTTATAAAGGAGAAAGCCTGGTTTTAGTGCCAAAGGAATTTCAAATCTCAACCCTGCCATTGCTAAAGCTAAGTATGTGTGCTTGGAATACACACACCCACACACAAATAAATCTCTGGGTTTGCAATGTATAAATTGTGGATAAATCTGTATTATCCACAATGAGAATTAAATGAGAAAATACATACAAAGTGCCTGGCACGGTGCTTAGCATACACTGGGAATTCCATAAATATTTGTTCTCTTTCCTTGACTTCCAATTGTACTTCATTAGACAATCATTTTAAAATAGATAAAAAGAAATGAAAAAGTATAAAGTTTAAAAACAGAAAAGTCAGGGCCTAATGGAAGTTCTGCTGTGGTGTGGTAGAATAAGCATTGGACAGCTAACCACAAGGTCAGGGGTCCAAAACCACCAGGTGCTGCTCAGAAATCCTATACAACGTATTGGAACTGACTCAACGGCACTTAGCAACAACAATGGCCTAATACTAGAAGATAGAGTTCTGGGTCTAAGTACAAAAAATAACATCAGTAACATGATTCAGGAAGCTGATTCTGTCATTACCTTCACAAAGAAGAGGTCATTAAAAAGGCAATGAAGCGGTTCCTCCACCATCCCACGGAGTTGTTGGTGAAGGCATTCTTGCCGGTAGTAGGGTGGGCATACATCAATCTCAAAGAAGATGGCCATGAGAGTCTGGATGGCATAGAAGCACTGCTTGTAATCGGCTTCCTTCAGCTTCACTGGCAACACCCTGGTGAATGTCACTATGGTCACCAGGATCCCCTGGATCCATAGAGATTACTTGCTCAATCAGTATAAAAATGCCGAAACTAAAGATATGAGAGTTCCACCAAAAAGGCAAAGAAGCCCCAAAAGGAGTAGGCTCTAAGTCAGAAAGTAGAGTCTTTACCTGTGTCCTGCCTTCTGGGATAGGAAGTTTATTTCTGCCAACAACTGGCTTTTTCCATAGCCTTTTCCACCTTCATACACAACTGCTTGCCCCTTCTCCTGGTACAAACAGCTCTGCTGTGCCATTTGGAAAGCTTCTAGTTCTTTCTCCCGGTCTGTAGAGAGACAGGGAGTACCTAACACTCTTGAGCTTTATTCTTGTTTTTTCAGCAGACATTCTATTTTTCTATTTTGATTTCATTTGCAAAGCTAAGTTTCCAGATAGCTCTTTGTCCACAGAATTCTTGGGAGAACCCTCTTCTTTGATGGCATTTATATTATTTGTAAACAATAACAAAGTAGCACTACAGACATATGTGCTGCTCTTGAGAGTCTGATGCAGAGCTTAAGTGACAGCATTCAGAATAATCGGGCACCACAGAGACATGCGGGCTACAACGAAGCTTCAAAAAGTTTCTGGGGCAATTCCAGTATCTTTTAATTCCATTTATCCATGAACTTTTGAAATTCTTTCACATTATATACTTAGTTCTTTGCAGAAATTTCCATAATAATCATTTAAAATCTTCAAAGTCTCTTACTGCCATGTTAAGATAATGGACTAACATATATAAAGTATACATAGTGTCACAATCATCATGAAAAAGAACATATCAAGATCTGTCTTGAAGTACAACGCTGTCTGTGATAGAATAATATCCACACGTCTCCATGGAGACCAGAAAATACTATTATTATTCAAATTTATGTACCAACCACTAAAGCCAGTGATAATGAAACTGAAGAATTCTACTAACTTCTTCAGTCTGAAATTGATCAAACATGCAATCAAGATATACTGATCATTTATGACTGGCAACTGGAAATCTGAGGTTGGAAACAAAGAGGAAAGATCAGTAGTTGAAAAATACGGTTCTGGTGATAGAAATGATGCTGGAGATTGCATGACAGAATTTTGTAAGACCAATGACTTCTTCATTGCAATACCTTTTTAAAACAACCTAAAAGATGACTGCATGCATGGACCTCACCAGATGGAATACACAGAAATCAAACTGATATGGAAAAGCTCCATATCATCAGCCAAAACAAGGCCAGGGCAGACTGTGGAACAGACCACCAACTGCTCATATGCAAGTTTATGCTGAAGCTCAAGAAAACAAATCCATGAGGGCCAAATTATGACCTTGAACATATTGCTCCTGAGTTCTCAGATCATATGAAGAACAGATTTGATGCATTAAACAGTAATGACAAAAGCCCAGAAGAGTTGTGGGATGAAATCAAGAACATTATACAGGAAGAAAGCAAAAGGTCATTAAGTAGACAGGAAGAAAAAGACCAAAAAGGATGTCAGAAGAGACTGAAACATGCTTTCCATTATAGAGATGCTAAAGCAAATAGAAGAAATAAGGAGGTAAAAAGAGCTGAACAGAAAATTTAAAAGAGCAGCTTGAGAAGACAAAGTCAAATGTTATAATGAAATGTGCACAGACCTGGAGTTAGAAAACCAAAAGGGAAGAACAACCTCAACATTTCTTAAGCTGAAAGAACCTGAAAAAAAAAAAATTTAAGCCTCAACTTGTAAAACTGAATGCTTCTATCAGCAAAATGCTGAATGAAGCAGAAAGCATCAAAAGACGATAGAAAGAATGTACAGTCACTGTACCAAAAAGAAATGGTTGATGTTCAACCATTTCAAAAGGTAGCATATGATCAAGAGCCAATGGTAATGAAGGAAGAAGTCCAAGGTGCATTGAAGGTAATGGGAAAGAACAAGGCACTGGTAATTGATGCAATACCAATTGTAATCTTTCAACAAACTGATACAGCACTGAAGGCACTCAATCATCTAGGCCAAGAAATTTGGAAGACAGCTGTCTGACTGGAAGAACCATATTTGTGCATATTGCAAAGAAAGGTGACTGAGGAATGCAGAAATCACTGGACAGTATCATTAATTTGCATGCAAGTAAAATTTTGCTAAAGATAATACAAAACTGACTACAGCCATACATTAACAGAGAACTTCAAAAGGTTGAAGTCAGATTCAGAAGAGGACATGGAAAGAAAGATATCATTGCTGACATCAAACTGAATTTGGCTGATAGCATAAGAATACCAGAATGATGTTTACCTGTGCTTTATTGACCATGAAACGTCTTTCAGTTTTGTGGATCATAATGAGAGCTATGGACAACGCTGCAGAGAATAAGTATTTCAGAACACTTAACTGTTCTCATGAGGAAACTGTACATAGACCAAGAGGCAGTTGTTTGAACAGAACAAAGGAACACCAAATGGTTTAAAATTAGGAAAGGTGAGTGCCTGGGTTGTATTCTTTTACCATATTATTGAATCTGTATGCTAAGCAAATAACCTGAGAAGCTGGATTACATGAAGAAAAACGTGGCATCAGGATTGAAGGAAAACTCATTAACCTGCATTGTGCACATGATACAAGCTTGCTTGCTGAAAGCTAAGGGGACTTAAAATACTGAAGAAGATTAAAGACTCCAGCCTTCAGCTATATAAAGGACACAAAAATCCTAACCACTGAACTAATAAACAACATCCATGTAAATGGAGAAAAGATTGAAAATACTGAAGTTGTCAAAGACTTCTTTTGTTTTTTTTTTTGGTTCAGCCATCAACACTCATGGAGGCATCAGTCAAGAAATCAAACGACATACTGCATTAGGCAAATCTGCTGCACAAGACCTCTTTAAAGTGTTGAAGGGCAAAGATGTCAGTTTGAGGACTAAGGTGGACCTGACCCAAGTCATGGTATTTTTAATAACCTCATATGCATGTGAAAGTTGAACAGTGAATAAGGAAGCCCATAGAAGAAGTGATATATCTGAGTTACAGTGTTGGAAGAGAATATTAAAAGTACCATGGACTGCCAAAAGAACAAACATATCTGTGTTGGAAGAAGTATAGCCAGAAATGCTCTTTGGAAGTCAGGCTGGCCAGACTTTGTCTCTCATATTTTGGACGTATTATGAGAAGGGACCAGTCCCTAGAGAATGATATCATGCTTGCTAAAGCGACAGGTTGGAGAAAAAGAGGAGACCCCAACAAGATGGATTGGCACAGTGCCAGCAGCACTGGGCTCAGGCATAGCAATGATTGTGAGGTTGGCCCAGGACCAGGCAGTGTTTCATTCTGTTGTGCATAAGGTTGCTATGAGTCATTATTGACGCAATAGTTATCTAACAACAAGAACATATAGTGTTGAAGGCAATAGAGTGTTGGTACTACCTTTATTCCCCTTGTTGGTACTGTTAGGTGCCATCAAGTTGGCTCTGACTTGTAGTGCTTCCTGGTCCTGAGCCATCATCACAACTGGTGCTAATTGTATCAAGGTTATATCATCTATTGTTGCAGCTGCTGTGTCAAGCCATCACCGTGAGGGTCTTTCTCTTTGTCGCTGACTCCATTTTTCAAGCATAATGTGTTTTCTAGTGATTGATCTTTCCTGATACTATGTCCTAAGTATATGGGATGAAGTCTCAGCATCCTTACTTCTAAGGAACATTCTGGCTTTACTTCTTCTACAATAGATTTGCTTGTTCTTCTGGAAGTCTATAGTATATTCAGTATGCTTAGCCAACACCATGATTTAAAGACATCTGGCTCCATAGGATAAGCACTGGACTTCAAACCACAGAGCTCTCAGTTCAAGCCCCCCAGTCATTCCACAGAAGAAAGATGAGTCTTTCTGCTCCCTCCAAGTTTTAAAGGCTGGAAACCAGATACAGGCGTACTAGGAGTTGGAACTGACTCCAGGGCATGTAACAACAATTCTTTTTCAGTCTTCCTGATTCACTGTCCTGCTTTGGCATGTATATGAGGCGACTGAAAATACAATGGCTAAGGTCCAGCACATCTTAGTCTTCAAAGTGCTATGCTCACTAACTTTAACTAAGTCTTGGTGGCATAGTGGGTTAAGCACTGGGCTGATAACAACAAATCCATCAGCCGCTCTGAGGGAGAAAGAAGAGGCTGTCTGCTTATAAAGACTTACAGTCTCAGAAACCCCAAAATGGGGTTCTACTCTATTTATAGGTTGCTTTGAGTTGTATGAACCCTGTTGTTATGAGTCGGAACTGACTCCACAGCATATAACAACGAGTTGTATGGAGTCCTGGTGTGGCGCTGTGGGTTAATGCGCCAGACTGTAATGCCATCTGAACTGCAAGGTCAGTGGTTCAAGCTTACCAGCTATTCCTCAGAAACCCCATACAGGGTCGCTATGGGTCAGAACTGACTTGACAACACTTAACAACAATAACAAGATAACTTGTATGGAGTCCTGGTATGACACTATGGTTTAATGTACTGGACTGCAAGTCGGCTTGATCTACACGGTCTGCAGTTCAAGCTCATCAGCTGCTCCTCAGAAATCCTTTACAGGGTCACTATGGGTTGGACCCAACTTGACGGCACTTAACAATGAGTTTTATGGTGTGGCGCTGTAGGTTAAATGCACTGGATTGCAAAGCAGCTTTGAACTACAAGGTTGGCGGTTCAAGCTCACCGCTGCTCCCTGGAAACCCTTTACAGGGTTGTGATGGGTCAGAAGTGACTCAACAGCACTTAACAACAACCTGAGTCGGGATTGACTTAATGGCGGTGGGTCTGAGGTTGGCAGCAGATTTGCCCTGTGTGCTACATGATTTCATTTCTTGACTGCTAGTTTCATGGACACTGAGTGCAGGTTCAGTACAATGAAGTCCTGACAATGCCAACACCCTCCCTGTTTATCATGATGCTACTTGTTGGTTCAGTTCTGAGGCTTTTTGTTTTCTTTATATTGTGGTGTAATCCATACTTCCA